TTTCGGAAAATGATTAGGTAAACACGTTTTCTATTTTTTCTATCTCTAGTTTTCCAAATTTTTGGAAAAACAGAAAATATTTCTGTTAGTAAACAGGCCCTAAGTATTCAGTAAAATGAATGTAATGTAAAAAAATCAGAATAAGTTACCTGATGTTCATCAGAAATAAAAGTCAAGTCAGCACCATCAGAATGTCCTAAGTTTTTCTCTAGCTCTTCTAAAAACCACTCCCAACTACACTTGTTTTCACCTTCTACTACTGCCCAAGCTAACAGGAACATCTGCTCGTTTGAGTCCCTCCCAACAGCTGACAACAACATCCCTCCTAAAAAAATTTGATGAAGCACCCATCCACACACAAAACTCTTCTGCCAGCACTCAACCATCCATCGTTTAGGCCATTAAAACATACAAAGAAGCGCTGGAAGGTAGGGGGAAGGATTGAGGTTTAGGATCCGTGAATAGTTTGAAGTGGCTGAGGGGGTTAACTTGATCTAAGGCTTCCAAATACATTCCTAGCTTATTATAGTGATCTTTCATGCTGCCATGGAGCTTCTTATGTGCATGATATTTGACTTTGTAGGCATAATCCCTGTGAACCAGTACTTTATAACCTCTTCTAATGGTCTCTATGATTTCTTTTGCTGGTCAATGAGGTCTAGACTTGAACACTTCTAGGAATTGCTCTGCCACCCACGAAGCCTTCAATTGCCTGTTTTTTCATCTTCCTATTACAACTATGCTCCCCTTCCACAGATTTCAGCACAAAACTAGCCCTCCTGCTATCCCAGCTGGCATACAATTTAAAAGGACAACCATCAACACATTTAGCACCATCTCTTTGTTGTCTACCCTTACTACTTACAATAATCTTCAGATTCCTCCCTTGAGAAATTGCAAACCTAGTATATGCATCCTTAAACTTATCTCTGTTTTCAACCCTCATACCAACCTGCCACACCAACTTATTAAAATCTGTATGTGCATCAACCACTACTACTCTATCTCTTTTCTTTCTTGGAAGACTGTCCTCACTGTCACTACCTACAGGTGTGTGGATATCTTCATCAGAGTCTTCATATTCACTCACAAAGTCATTCTGGTCTGAATGATCTTCATCATTAGATGTTGCAGTTAATTCCCTTTTACCTCGTGCCACACCTTCAACAGCTTCCTTTTCAAGTTGATTTGCTATATCAACAACCTTGGAATTCCACCCAGTAACTCTTCTTCTAGACTCCATAAATTCTTCATCACTTGTGGCATTATCTGACCCAAACGGTGGGACGTGTAGCTCCTCTTCACCTTCAATTTCAGCATCTCCATCTTGGTCATTATGTTGTGGTTCAACATTGTCATCTTCATCACTGGGGTCAGAACTCTTTGTTTGTTCTCTACTCCCTCCCTGGCTAGTTTGTGCACCAATACCTCCTTCCCCCGTGTGTGGTCTCTAACCTCGGCATCAAATTTAACACTTCTCAAACCCGTCTCCAAACTCTTACCAGGGACCAAGTAGAAATTTAGAGATGGCAATTGTGACCGATCCGGTGGATACCCGCACCGAACCGCCCCGGTCAAACCGGGGAAAACCGCATTGACCGGATAACGGGTATGGGGCGGGGAATACCCGTTTTGTTTTTACGGGTAACGGGGCGGTTACGGTTTTATACATGTCCACCCCATTACCCGCCCCGTACCCGCCCCGTTTATTTTTAGTTATATTTTTATTACATTCTCATCTGTTATATTTTCTATTTTCATTGTGTATATATCAATGACAAATGTACTAACTCTAGTGTATGAATGAAAGTTCATAATAGATCTTAATAGTCTTGTTTGATTATTATCAGATTCTTTTGAGATTAATTATTTTTCAGATTAAGTATTTTTAGATTCAAACTCATTTAGGTTGCCTTCTTTCTCGTATTGTAGACATGCGAAACTTTAAAGTGGCGTTTGAGTCTAGAGTCGTTTAGGTGATGCCATTTTTTGCCTTTTAAAACATTATTTTTATATTAAAATACCAATGACACATTTAATAAAGTGATTACCCACGGTTACCCGCGGTTATACCCGTTACCCGTTGGGGCGGTTATGGGTTGGGTAAAAATTACCCGTTGGGTAATGGGGCGGTTATGGGGCGGGGGAATTACCAAACGGGGCGGGTACGGTTATATGTAAAACCGTCCCCGATCCGCCCCGTTGCCATCCCTAAGTAGAATATCTCATCTATACTGCTGTATTTGCCACACTTCCCGGCTAACTCCTCAAGCCAAAACCAGCATAGTTCATCAGCATCCAGATCAAAACATCTAAACTGACCACCGACGTACTCTAATTTTCCTCTATTATTCTTCTTAAATGTACCTCCATGCCACATCTTCAGTGTAACCACTGCATTTAAAGACATTCTAGTTTCTTTCACGTACAACCTAAAGTAAAACACCAAAATAAAATTCATTCAAATCTATATGATCAAATAAAATAGCCGTTTAGTAATAAAAACACTCTGACTGTGTAAAGAAAATCCTAAAAAGTACATTTGTATGTATTTTTTCAAAACCGACAACCCTAAAATTCAACAACGTACCAGTGTACTCCATTCAAGTAAAAATTGAATAAAAGTTGCAAAGAAATTGCACATACAACTTAAAGTAAACACTAAAACACAATTTATTCAAATCAAATAGAATAATTGTTTACTAATAGAAGCACTCTGGCTATGTAAATAAAACAATAAAACTACATTTTTATGGAATTTTCCATAATCGACAACCCTAGAATTCAACTACCAGTGTACTCCGTTCAAGAAATAACAATCCACTTGAACAAAGAAAGTGAACAGGTTCTTCCTGACAAAGAAACGGCTCCACAAATCGATAGACTTTACCTGTAGTTGGCCTTCAGGACTCCACTTGAACTTCTAGCTTCTTCCTGGCAAAGAAACGACTGACATGAGCGATTGAACTGGTTGCAAGGTTAAACCATTGAAGACGATGGGGATAAGGTGTACATATGGTGTAACTTACTAAGTTTTTAAAAAATGACCGTCTCAGCCGATACACGGTCAGACCAGTCTAATTACGGAAGACAGCACCCCTAGTAGGGATTAAACAGAAATAACGCTTAGTATGGATTATTAAAAGCGGACAAGGCATAGTACGGATTATTCCAGTCAATTTTTCCTATAAAATATCCTTACATTTTGTATACATGTATGGTGTGTCCTTAATAACTAATGCGTGATAAGAAAAGATTCAAAATTAAATGGAATTGTATAATTTGTAATCAATAAGAGCTCGCTTGATGAATGATGACCATGTTTTTGGCATATCAGGTTTATCATTCAACGTTTTTACTAAACGCGTAACTTTCGATTTCGCGTGTTGAATTTTGTAATAATAAGAAAAACCAAGGTCAAAATTACTTTTTTGATTGTATTGACTGAAGTTACCGTAGATGACCATTTCAGCTATTTTTCATGTAATTTTTTCTTTATTTTATTAGTAAAATATATTTTAAATGATGGAGTATATGGCCCAGGAACCCCCGGCCCATAGACTCCCACTACTGTAGCAAAGGCCCAACAGGCCCAGGAAGCATGGCAGACCCAAATTGCAGCGCCCCAAGTGCCAAGCAGCCCACGACGAGCACTGGGGTGCCTTCGGCCCCCTGGCCGAAGGCTCATAAGCTAACAGTACAACTTCTTTAAAGCCCTCAAAGTGTCTGGGAGGAAGCGGCGAAAACAGGAGCCCTCGGCACCTAGAGCCCTCGGTATTTGGAGGCCCCTGGTATGAAGAGTCTTCGGCCAATCATCTACGGCCGAAGACATCTCCTCAACAGAATCTCCCACCCACATGCGCCAGATCAACGTACCAAGTACAAACGTCACATCCAACCGCCGCATTTAATGCGGCCACATGCGAGTGCCAGTGCCACCCCGCTGAGGTGACCCCTCGACCACCAGAATGTTGACACGTGTCCCTATCTGGCATTTATTACTACTATAAATAGCACCCTTTTTCCCCATTTTTAATCCAGGCTCAATACGCTCAATACTTTCTCAGCGATATATATTCTCTCTCTTACTTTTGCTCTGACTTCTCTCTAGTTATTCTCCGCAGTAACCCCTCGGATAGATACCCCCGAGTACACTTATCCATCATTTGGTGCTCTCGTTGAGAGGTCGAACAATCAGGTAAGAAAACCTCCCCTTCAGCTAAAAAATACTTACTAAAATGGGAAGAACCACCCGTGCTCAGTCCAAGAACCTTGAGGACAACAACCTGGCCCTCGGTGAAGTCAACGCCCCCGGAGCCTCTAACAAGGCTCCCGAGGGCGGGGTCATCACTGAGTTGGAACAGGCTGCTGTTGACTTGAGCCTTCAGCTCGAACAAAACGCTCCCGATGCCCGCCTCGACATCGAAACCCGAAGGAGGGACCAGAGCGAAAATCAAGTGAGCCCTCCGGTTCTCACTATCGACGTACAATCGGCATTCTCTGCCTTCATCCAGACACTCACTCAAAACCCAGGTGCCTTTGGCACCCTGGTACCCCTTCACCCGCAAGTCGGGGAGAACGTTGTTCTTCTCCCACGACCGCCCCCCTTCGTGAACCCTACCCCTCGGGTGGGGAACGACGAAGGGGTCATGGCTCAAGACACTGCTTCCCAGGAGATCCAATCCCGGGACCAACGCGGTGCTAACAAAGAAAGGCCTCGGACCTCAGCCTTCGAGAGGCTCAAAGGGGCGCAAGACCGCCGAGGGGTCCAAGACCGCCTCGGTGGAAAGGCGTCCCAAAGACCCCAAGAGAGCGAGGGATCCTTCTCAAGAGCATTTTTATAGTAACATGTAGATGGATACTAGGATTGAATGTCATTTACATGCAGTAAATAAATGACAACAAAGTGACAATTAACATGACATTTTTTGGAATACAAAATGCCATCAAATCTGATATATGTCATTTATACATAAACAAAATGACATTACATTAATGAGATGACATTTAGGATAAAACATTTGGATAAAGCACAAGTCATAAACACTTAAATGCCAAGAATGGCTAAAGCACAAAACCTTAAACGTTCAAGGAAATGATAACCAAGTCCAAACCACATAGTAGAATTGTTAAAAGTACAAAAAAACAGAAGACAACATAAAATGAGTGGGCAAATCTACATCACTGGGTATTAATTGGAATTGGATTTCTACAAGTTTTCTTATTATGCCCAAGCACATGGCATCTAGAACATTTTTGACGTTTTGAACCTCTATATTCTCCAATGGATGGAATCCTGCATTTCTTAGGGCGACCAGGAGGACGCTTCAAACAACTTGGTGGCTTGCATCTCTGGTTTTGAATAGTAGCATGAATTGACCAACTGTCAGGATCAGCAATAGGATGTATGATACCAGACCATGTAGCAAGCCAAACATCTCTTGTGTAATATGGAGATATGTACGTATAACATGAAAGGTGTGGGCGTATACCGATTGCAGCCATAGCATGAACAGACACAAATTGATCTAATTGAAAGTGGCCGCATGTACAACTTCTAGAGTTGAGGTTTACCACAAAGGACTTGCATCTACTGTCAACAACTTCAAATTCATATGCACATGATGGTTTAACCTGTGAAATAAAAAAAATAAGAATATGAAAGTAGATAAAAAAGAGAATTAGCAAAAGAATATAACAGTAATATGTGGCTATGAAGTATAGAAAATGTCAACTTATATATGAATATTAAGTAGAAGAGAAATGATAAATAAAAACGCTAGTAAGACTATTTGAATATGAAGTACACAAAATGACAAATTTATAAAGACAAAATGACATATTAACAAACAAAGTGGAATTATAAAAGGAGATGAAAAAATGAAAACTGGCTAATGGTATTCAAAGTCAAAAACTAAGCTTTGACATACCTTCATACATGTGGATTCAGCTTGCAAAGCTACCAGGCGTTTCTCACATTTCTTTGTGAGTATAGTACTTGTTTTCTCAGCTTTATCTTTCCTCTCTGTGAACCATTGTTGCATCCTTTCACGCAAGAAATCAACAAGTTTAGACACAGAATACTCTCTTGCACAGACATTGACTTTGTTCATAGACTCACCACAATTTGATGTCATAATATTATATCTCTTTGGGCCAGACATTACTTTTGACCATGTGTTAGCACCTAATTTGTCTAGCCAAGTCCTTATCCTGGGGTCTTCAGAATCCAACATGGATAAGTAGTCATCATATTCTTTCATAGTTGCTGCCATATAGGCAGCTTTGAACTTCCATCCCAAACCAGCTGCAGATCCTCTGAATTTTGATGTTATGTTACGACCAAGATGAGCAACACAAAAACTGTGGCTAGCATGTGGCAAGAGTTCAGAAATGGTCTTGATAAGCCCTTTATGCCTATCAGATACTACGTACAGGTCATGTATGTACTTTATTGATTGACAAACTTTGGATAAGAACCATTTCCAAGAAGCTTTAGTTTCAGAACCACAAATACCAAATGCAATAGGAACTATGTGATCATTGGCATCTTGGAAACAAGCTGTAAGGAGAGTACCTTTATAGTAAACCTTCATGAAAGAACCATCCAATATAAGAACAGGTCTGCAGTAGGGCCAAACTTCTATCCATGGTTTGAATGACATAAAAAGGTAGAAAATGCATCATCCTGCCTTGTGACTAGATTAAACATAGAGCTAGGATTTGTTTTCTCAAGCACATAAGCCATTGAAGGCAAAAGCTGATAGGATTCAAGATCAAAACCAAATTGAAGCTCCATTGCTTTCTTCTGTTCTTTCCAAGCTTTGTTGTATGACATGGAAAGTCCATATTGCATACTCATGTCCTCACGAATTTGCTTTGGGGGGTATGGTTTATTGGAAGCATCAAGGTATTTGTGTGCAATAATATTTGCTATCACACTAGCAGATGCCTGTCTATGTTTGCCTTGTCTGTAATCAATAGAGCATGTGTGAACTGGCCGGAATCTGAAAAGAAAAAATGACATTATTATACAAATACATAACATGAAGTTGACAGCACTGTATAAGAATGTCACCACAACATGCCATTCTTATAAACCAGAATTTACAATGAAGTGAATTAAAGAAGGAAAATTGAAGTTACCTTCTGATTTGAAACATTGTTACGCCATGTAGTTTTACAGCTCGAACACTCCAACAACATTTTGGATCTAAGCAAATAACATGCAAACATATTTTCTTCGATGTCTTAGTTCTGTATTGGAAGTGGTTTGTGATAGCATACATCTTCAGATGGTGGATAAGTTTTTTTTTTTTTTTGTAAATAGCATGGAGGAGAAGACAAGTAGGATGGGACTGTGTGATGATTTCAAAATTTTGGAGAAATGAAAATGAGTCAGATGATTTAGTTAAAAGGCCATCTGACATATCATCTGACATGTCATCACTGTCTTCAAATGATTCATTTTCTACAGTTGCAGACACAGTGTTACTACAAGAAACAATATCTTCGGATTGGCCACAACTTACCCCAGATAGCATAACATTTTCATATTGCCCAAATGGTGGGACATCATCAAAAGAAAGTGCAGGTGAGGAGGAATGTTGTTGGGCAGAAGAAACAACAACATTCTCATAAGTGGTATGTTGTTGTGAAGCATGGGAAGAAGAAACAACAACATTCTCATCATAAGGGGTATGTTGCTGTGAAGAAATGATAACATTTTCAGACCAAGGAGAAGCAGATGGTCCAACATCAATAGAAAATGCAAGAGAAGATGAAACCGGATAAAACTCAACACAAAGTGGATACAATGAAAAATCTGGTTGAAGAGACTTGATATAAAGATAACATGTTAAGGTAGATTGATCATTTATAGTAACAGGAGGAGGAAATCCATCTCGCATATAAGAAAGCCTGAAATTATGATTAGCTTTGTACTGAGAAAGGATGTCACTCAAAGAGTTAATAAAAGAAGCATATTGAACATTATAGTTAACATGAAGGCCACATGTGTGGACATTGTTGAACACGTTGTTAGAATCCCAAAAACCGTCAACCTTGACCATAACAAGTAAAATAGGATCCATTGTGGTAAAAAGGTTCCTAAAAAATGCAACAAAAGAAATATTTCAGTATGACAAAATCTAGGAAAAAGACAGTTCGGACAAAATTATGACATTTTTGTTAACAATATGACAGTTTATAAGGATGTGTACCAATTATATACAATTACAGAACATAAAAAGGAGAAATCATAAAATGCATATACATGACAGGTAGGACAAACTAAATGACAGTTCGGACAAAATTATGACAGTTGTGTTAACAATATGACAGTTTATAAGGGTGTGTACCAATTATATACAATTACAAAACATAAAAAGGAGAAATCAAAAAATGCATATACATGACAGGTAGAACAAACTAAATGACAGTTCGAATGACATAATTTAGGTAGAAGAATAGAGAATTTAACAAAAACAAAATAAATTGTAGATACAAACTGATATCTAAACTAGCCGATGAAATTTAATGAAATAAAACAGAGTACAACTACATACGAAATAAATTGTTGATTATAATGAATTTGAAAGCGATCATATGATGAAAGGTTTGATAATATGAAATTGAAGGAAAAAAGAGAACACAAATGCATATATGTATATGTATTCAACTGAAATATTGTCGTTCCAAATTACAAGCAATTGCGAATTCAATTTAACAACGATTGAAGAAGAATTGACGAACGAAAACAGAATCACGGCCATAATAAGTTATTATGAAAGCATGAAATTTGAGGTAAACGTACTCTGCAAAGAACGAAACACAGGCAGCTATGACGCCGTACTCCAAGAGAAATCCATGGCAGAAGAATGCAAGAAAAACAACGAATGATTAGTTAGGTTGAATGATATCCAACAAACTTAGGAAACTAATAGTGATACTCAACCTGAACAAGGAAACTACTTTGAGAAAGGAAACTCCTTAACCGTTTGAAACTGGATAACCGAAAAAGGCCGGTAACTTCCTTATTAATATCACAAATTCGAACAGGGGTATTTAGGATATTTCCTAAAGTAGTAAAACGCAAGATAGGACCGTATAAGTCCTATTAACGAGAGAAAACTTGGTAAGTCCTAATATGAGTTTTTTAGCATGTTTAAGTCCTATTATGGCTAATTTCTTTTTTCTAAACAAAGTTCTTTTTCTTTTTCTTCAAAAGTGGACCGTCCTTTGACTTGCGACTGATACGGAAACATCAGAGCTTGCTTACACCTGCTACCTGGATATATAAGGTCTGGTGCCGGAAAAGGTGGGTTCCGGCCTGGGGTTGCGTGAAACGAGATGTTGAGGCGTGAGGCGTGGAAGAAGCTGAAGCTGGGAGAAAGGCATGGGTGACAAAAAAAGAAGTAAAAAATGGCTAAAGGTCAAATAAGTCTCGAACTAACTTAAAAAGTGTAATTCACCCCTTATTTAAGAGTCTCTGTCCGGCCGTCGTCAATTGGGCGGTTTCCGGTGGAATTTTTTGATGAAATATTTTGAGCATCTTCTTCATTAAGTCTAGTTTATACATTCTAAATTTCAGATAAAAATTTAATCGAGAAGACAGTCAAATGATTTTCTGAAATGTACTGCGTTGTTTAACTGCGCAGTTATCTTCAAAAACTCATTTAACTGCCTTCTTGATTGAAGTTTAGCTAAAATTTGGTATGAGTAAACTAGACTTAATGAAGAAGATGCTCAAAAAATTTCATCAAAAAATTCAACCGGGAACCGCCACAATTGGCGACGACCGTGCAGAGCCTTCTAAATAAGGGGTGAATTGCATTTTTTAAGTTAATTCGAGGCCCTATATGACCCTTTAGCCGGTAAAAAATTGAAAGACTATTTATATGGTGTACCCCATGGTGTAACCCGGGGGTGTACACCAAGACTTTTTTGTTAGGAATTTACTTCTTTTTAATGAAATTTAGAGTGTTTGTGGAAAAAAAAAATGCTTTTTAGCTTTTGATTTTAAAAAAGTTAAAATTGGTGTTTTCAAATGAAAATTTCTGTTTAAATTAAGTGCTTAAAAGCTAAAAGGTGGAAACAAGTTGAATGATGCTTTAAATTGCTTTTAATTTTTCTATTACACAAAAAAAACACTTATTTTATTAAACACTATCAACTTTTACTTTTTTAGAAGCATTTTTTTCTCAAACACTAACAACTTTTACTATTAATCACTTTATCCAAACTCATTTTAAAAAATCATGTTTTTTAAAGTAGAAGCAATCGCTTAGTCGACATAATTTTTTTTATACATAGATGTGTGCCGTAGTGGAGTACGTCTTTACAACAAAAATAAAATTAAATACAATGTCCTCAGGGGCGGATCTGGCAGGGGGGGCAGGGGGGCCGGTGCCCCTGCTCCGGTCATGCGAGCTAGGGTATAGGTATGGTTTGGAGTCCGCCGGACTGCACCGTTTCATTATTTCCGGCGAAGCTTGGGACCTCTATTTTTGCTTCTGACTTCCGCTGGACAGGACGATCGATGGAGGTGATTTTGTTTAAATGGCATGACGCCGTTTTGTATTCTGTGGGACAAAAAAAGGATTGGGCCAAGGCAGGTCCAACACGCAACAACCCCAAACGAAGCAAAGAGAACCCAAATCTGGGCATCCTGCCAAGGCAAGAAGGCTTGTTTTCCCATTTTTTCCCTGTGCGGCTGTGCTACTGTTTGATGTTATAGGTGATGATTGGTAATGGTACTACTATCCGGCATTCCCAAATTCCCAAACGCCCGCAGACCGCAACGGTATGTTCCGAGTTCCGATTTCCTATTTCTTCTATTTGAAATTAAATAAAATTTTGTATTTGTTTTAAAATTCATAGTTATGATTTGAAAAAGATGTTATATGTAGTCACAATGTAGTATAATTGTGTAAAATATATTGAATTAAATATAACGATTATGTGTTACTGTAATTTTTTGTGTTAATGTATTGTTTCATTTGTTTGTATTAATGAAGTATTTATAATAGATTAATAGTTCGACTTGAAATCTTGAATTAATTATTTGTTGTTTCAATATTTGTCATTAGGGGATGTCAATTGAGAAGTATTTTCCCCGGAAAAAAACACCAATAACTTTCGATTGTGTAGTCGGTTTTACGTAATAAAATGGGAGATGATTATCTTACTGATTGTGTAGTCTGCTACGTAGAAAGAGATGTGTTTAGACGCATCGATAATGAGGTTATTATCCAACATTTTCAGAACATGAAGACCTGTAGGTTGGATTTAGCACCATTACGTTAACCCTTTTGATTAAATTTGGTATGTTTTGTTAGTGTAATTTGTTAAGACAATTTTATTATTAATGTCAGGATTTACGTAAAGTGATTGTGCCCCTTCTTAATTTTTTCTCTAGTTCCGCCACTGAATGTCCTTATATGTCTTTTTATACCCAAACAATTATGTTTAAACAGTTAATTTACCACACATTTGTTGAAAACCAGCTAACATAATTAGCTAACTAAAACAACTGACACAACCAATTGTTGTCAATCAGTTGTCATAAGTCATAATCAGTTAACAGCTAACAGTCGATTGCCAAACAAGGCCACTACTTTAGTTTTTAAATGAATGCAACAACTCATCTTTCATATTTGGTGAAGCACAACTTTAACCATTAATAAATTTAATTCCCTATTAATAAATTATTAAAAATTAATAGAAAATTTACTATGAGACGAATTTTACGATATTTTTTTAAAATAATTTATTAATAAATTAATAATTAAATATGATCTCAAAATCCTTTGGAAATATGGTTTGGATGTTACCTTTGTTGTATGAATAAATCAATAGAACTTAATCAAAGTAAAATATGTGAATATTGTTACCGTTGTTCTTAACTTTTTTAAGAACGTCAAAACGGTATTACATCACATCATTACTAAGTTATTGGTATTTAATTATGTATTTGAAATAATTACATATTTATGAATAGAATGAAAATTGTTTACAAAAATGTGATTAATGACTAAAGTAGTCATGAAATCAAAGTAAGTTATATTCAATTTTTTAAACTTAAGTACTATAACACTTCAATGTAGTAACTAAGTCATATTTGTGTAAATAAATATTATTTTAGTAATACTTTTTGTAAAAACCCTTATTTAATTATTTATCATAATCTTTTATACTACCTCCGTTCATATTATAACTTTCAAATAGGTTTGACACACAATTTAATATAGTGGATATTGTGTGGTAGAGAGTTGTGCGAAAGAGAGATAAATGTGTAAGAAATGTTGTGAACCACAAATTCTTTACCAAAAAAGGAAAGTAGAAATTTTAATTGAAATGGAAAGAAAAGAAAAATAGATAGAAAATTAGAAAATTAGAAGTTAATTTAATTGAACCCATGATGATTATATACCTGATCAGCCTCTTACACAATTTCCTTGTACAAACCTATTTTGTAATTTTGGGTACCCTTTGAAGCGCGATTATACTCCTAGTGGAAGCGTCGACCATGCCGAGACCCCCGAAGCGAGAGAAGCACCCCAACTCTGTTGCCTCTCCTCATCCACTACCAGAACTGTAATAATCTCAATACAGCTCCAACCTTATAAGCTTCTAAATTTCAGTAGTGTTCGAACCCTCATATATGTGCACTTCCTTTGGCTTTTGTTTTTCTATGCGACGTTTGCGAACTGCTTTCATTTTTGGTTTTTCACCAGATGCTTCGAAGGGGAAAGCCTGGATCATCTCCTTAAAGCCTTCGCCAGGTGAATATTTGCTTATGTTAATAGTTGGTTGGCGTGTCTCTTTTCACTCCCTCTCCACCTTGAATAATCACCTTAACATTGAATAGCGAAATAGAGTCTGCCAGAAGCACGGACACAGCTTTGCCGGAGAAATTCTGGTTTAAGGTCGGTAATTTTTAATTTTCAAGTTTCTTACATTTAATTGGACTAGGGTTATTTCTGATTAACAACACTAGAAAAGAAGGGAGAAGATAAATAGCCTCGGTTCGTTCCAACATTTCTAAAAATATTGATTTTAAGAGCCATGTGGTAACCATTATTTTTTACTTATACTTTTTTTTATTAATTTTTTATTTAGCTGGTTGAAGTTAGATATATACTAAGTATATTTTAAATATAATATTTTCAGAGTTCAAGAGATTTTAGCCAATTTCAATGTTACCGAATGAGCTCTAAAAATTGTGTGGAAATTTATCTAAAAAAACTTTATACCAGTCTATCAAAGGTAACCTTCTGACTATGCCACTGCATTTGATATGTAAGTGTATGTGTAATGAACAGCAACAGTTCTCAATTGGAGTGAATGAAGTGACACGGGTGCTTGAACGCATGCCCGCAGTTGCTGCCACACCCAATGATGATTCAGTCCAAGCAGATCCTCCTCGGAATCAACTTCAAGTTACCTACTCTGGCTTAATGTCCAATTCAATACTCTCTTTGTTGCTGGTTCAGTGATCATTTATCCACTTTTTCATTGTTAAACAACAGGCTATACTCCTAGCATCTGATTGCAACCCATGGTGGTTGACCAAGCATCTATCCAGCTTGGCTGCTTCTAGGAGTGTGCCTCTTTTATTTGTGAAGGACAAGAAAAGAGGTTCTCTTAGGTTAGGAGAATTGGTCAAACTCAAAACTGCAATTGCTGTTGGTGTGAAGGTTGTTGCTATTAATCATAATATGGTGTTTATGCGTTGAACCCCTTTTGATATACAACAAATTACCTGCATTATTATTATTCCCTTAATTCAAGAAAAATGAAAATAACATAATTTGCTGTCATTGTTGGGAAACAGTCATAGTATGCCTTTATGTTTCCATTTTTGTTTTATCCCAATAAATTAGTATTTACAGCCAACTTATATGACACACTGATGTTGTGCAGGCTAGAGGAAACACCATCAATCAATTGGTCAGCAGTCTGCTTCTTCAAATGCCTACATAGTTTTGTTTCACTCCCTAGACTCTTCATAATGACAACTCCTAATTCAAATTCAGTTCTTGTAGTTGAATACTATATGCATACCCAAATTAGACCGAAGAAACAAATAATCTATGAATTAAGTACTTTTCTGAGCAAGGAAAAGTATATTTTGTATGGATTACTAGGTTGTAAAAATAAAACTAGATTCCTTTCTGCATTTTTTTCATGGCATTTTAATACAAGATGTAGTTTTTGTACATCCACCAAACTCTCCTTAGTGAACCCCTGCAGAAAATTCAGTACTCTATCTGTTGTACACTGTCGTACAGGACCTGAACCCTCAATTCCTCAAAGATGTGATCATTCAAGGGGGCCTCCTGCACCAAGCTGTGTGGCAGCTGGAGTAGCATCATTAGCAACTTGATCTTCGCTCTTCTCATCGTCTTTCCTCCCATTTGTATTCAGATTTTCTGTGTCACTACTTTTCTTGTCTTGTTCCTTTACTAAGACAGGTTGAAACTGTCCAGGTAAATGAGATAAATAGGTCAAATATTCACACACATAACAACCTTTCAAGTGAAAATTGAGGACAAGTATGGTGCATTAGATTGTAGACCTAAGGGTAAAAAATTGAGAGAAAATTGAGAGAAAAAATGTGATGTCTCAACTCCCAAGTGCTTTATCTGCGTGTAAAGGTGTAATATTCTTAGATTCTTTTTATTCTCATAGGAGACATGCACCCTATTTGTAGTTTTGGACACACACATGCTCCATATGTCCCATAATAAACTTCTTGGTTTTGACACCAGGAATCAAAAAATTGAAATAGCAACGTTGTATTCTATAATATGATCAAAGTAAAAAGTGGAATGTAAAAAAAATAAAAATAAAAAGTAAAAAGTGGAATGTTTTTTTGGACAGAATATACTCTGTATATATCGAGGAGCATTCAGAAACAAACCTGGTAGACTGAATATATAACATTCCTCCTTATTTGTGCCATCATTTCAATGAAAAGGTTGTATCCTTCAATCTTGTACTCAATGAGGGGATCCTTCTGGGCATAACCTCGCAACCCTACAGCCTGCTGTACAAATTTAAGTGCCTGCAAGTGTTCTTTCCACAGCCTATCGATGTTGTTTAAAATCAAGAACTTCTCTGCCTGTTTCATCAATCCCGGAGCTTGTTTCTCCACAACATCCTAAGGGGGAAACCAAATTATTCATTTCTATAATTTAAGATACAAGCTCACTAAAAGAAAAAAGACATGTCTTTATTTGCACATGAATCTTCCTTGCTATAGATGGAGCAACCATGAGCTCAGTTAATCACAATGTCACGTATCATACTTCAATGCACTGAACATAAACTTACCCTTTTCTGTTGATACACTTGTCGACCAAGTAACCTGAGATAATCTCGCAACTCCTCATAATTTGAGCATTTATCAGCCAGTTGACTGGGGGTCAAATCACTCAATAGATAGCAATACCTGTAAGAAAAACCAGAACTTATAAATACAACAGCCATCACTAGTTTGCTAGAAATTTTAGCAATGCTCCACAGTACACACTTACTGTTGGAGTTTAGCAATAAGCTTTTCAAGATCCCAGGTATCTTTTGGAGAATCAGGACTAACATTTGCCTATCACGTGTTTAAGAAAAAATTGTAAATGTAACAGAAATTGAATTTCTTTATGATTCCCCCCGAATCCAGCACTTAATTCATACAGTTTCACCTCGAGGATGTCATCCATTGTCAATTCAGCATATTCGTCAAGGAGTGATTGGAGATCATCTGCTTCTAGGGCCATCCTTCTTTCTGTGTAGATACGATCTCTTTGGCTATTTAAGACCTCATCAAATTCAAATAGCTGCTTACGAATATCAAAGAAGTAATTTTCAACCTTCCTTTGAGCTTCATCTAATGCTTTTGTCAGTATCTTTGATTCAATTGGTAGGTCTTCCACCCTAAACACTCTCATTAACCCCTGATAAAGTGATGACATTAAAGTTTCAGCAAATTGTAAAATTTTGATATCTAGAGCACTGTGTTTATGTTTAGGCTGTTGTCATACTAAATTCAAACCTGGATACGATCCCCACCAAATATACGGAATATGTTGTCTTCAAGACTAAGGAAAAAACGGGAACTTCCAGGATCTCCTTGCCTCCCACTTCTACCTCGCAGCTGCATATATCGAACGCATCTCAACAAATTGCCAGCACTATTAATAGTTACATTACTGAATTTAAGAAACCACTACTGAATGATATTACTCCCTCCGTCCCAATTTGATGGTTTCATTTCTTTTGGGCACAAGTTTAATAAAGTGGTTGAAAAGGTAAAAGTTGTGGTTGAGATTTGAGTATAATAAAGTGAAATGATATGGATCACATCTTTCTTTCCAAAAAGGGAAACAGGACCATCATTTTGGGACATCCCAAAAAGGAAATACAGAGCCATCATTTTGGGACGGAGTAGTATATTCTTTCTAACAAATATTATCAACATCCTCCGCCGCCTTTATATCAACTATGCTGGGCACAGTGTCATGAAGTTCAGTTTCAATCAAAATGTCTAGAATTAGTTAACATTATATATTCATGTAAAAGCAGAGGCAGAGTTTTATGCTATATGCTTCTCCATACGCACCCACCATCTTATGAAGGAATAAATAGATGAAATTCTAATACCATCATATCACAGGTTTTTCTACTTGCAAAAACAATCAAGTAATGAGAAGATATAGCAGTTATTATAATCACATCCCATAAGAAGACTGATAGCGTAAAATCAACATGAACATCTTCTAACATGACCAAATATTTAGAAAATATTACGGAGTATTTTCTTTAAATCATTGTTACATGATCGAAAGTGTACCTGATTGTCAACTCGACGCGACTCATGACGCTCAGTACCAATTACATGGAGCCCGCCAGCAGATATGACCTGCCATTACTAAACTGATAAAGATGCGGAAAGTGCATCACACTATTCTAGAATTCCATGAAAAGATAAGAGGTTCTCCACAAAGCATTACAACGCAAACAGCACGTTATGTTTAACAGAAGGAGCTGAGTAAAGGAATTGCCTTTTGTTTCTCTTCCTCAGTATAAAACTTATACTCTCTCGTAATTTCCAGAAAAGCACTGCGAAGTTTTGATATTACTTCATCTTGAACAGGACCCTGCAACATGACTTTTCTTTATAGAGTACTTATACAATAACAAGGTTTTCTGTAGAAAAAAACATATTTTGCGACACTCACCTTTTCACAGGAACAAGACAGTCGCTCCTCTGCTTCAAGTTCAGTCAAGGATCTTGGGCCCCATATTTTTACAGCAAGTTGCACAGTTTCCTCTGCCAGCTTAGAACTTTCTTTAGATAACTTGCATGGAAATAAACGATCATTGACCTGCAATTAGCCACTTACATTCAGACAGATTACATAGAAGGGCATATGGAAATGTAGTAGTTATGAAAATTGAAATTGGGCTGACCTTCCATGTCTTTATTGGAGAAGGTTTCTTTATGGAAACATATGCCCCTTCTGCTGGTTTAACAACCCTATAGCACCGTGGCCATTCAGAATACATTTGAAAATCTCCTCATTCTAACTTTCTAATAGGTCACGGGTTACAACTTTTTAACATTTCCTTATTGCTAAATAATTCTCAACACCTAGTAAATTTTAGCTCACGGGTTGTAGAGATTCACATTGAAACTTTTCTTCCATGCTCAACTATACATTGAAACTGTAATGTGACGTTAATTTTTAGAAAGTAATTTCCACAAATTTCTTCAAAAGAAGCTTATAAGATTCTATCAAGAACCACCATACGTAAGAGTATTGTAAGCAGTTAAGCACTTGATGTTTCCTATATGTGGAAGCCTAAAACAAATCAGAATGCATACCACAAAGCTAATAGAACAATTATAAAATAAACTAACAACGACCAAAGTTACAAAAAAACTCTGTTTCAAAAGGTTTCTCCGATAAGGTTTTCTCGGTGTTAGGAGTAAAATTGTGCTAGTACTGTATAGCATATAAAAAGTGAAACAGCATGGGAGAGAAGATTAAAAAAAAGTAAATAAAATATGAGAGAAGATAAAAGTAAGGGCATCAATGACATTTGATAAGTTCGTATTTGTCAAAAGGGGAAATTGGGCAAGTGACTAAAAACTTCCTTAAAAGGAAAGTGGAGCAACATCTGAAATATGGAGGGAGTATTGAAAGATACTTGGATACCTTGGCATTAACATCTCTCTTAACTTCAACCTAGCCATGAACTCTGCGTTACCACCAAGGATAATATCAGTACCACGACCTGCCATGTTAGTAGCAATTGTAACAGCCCCTAGACGGCCACTCTGTGCCACAATCTCAGCTTCTCTTTCCACATTCTCAGGTTTTGCATTTAGTACCTTAATTAACATTAGAAAGGACTTGAGATAAAAAAGAAAAATCTTTTCAGTTGAGTTAGCAGTGTAACCAGTGTTGTACTTGCCTCATGGGGGATTTCAGCATCATGCAGCTTTTCTGACAATGCATCACTTTGCTCAACGCTGGTTGTACCGACAAGCACAGGTCGGCCTATTTTATGCATTCTAGAAATCTCCACAACCACAGCCCTCCACTTTCCTGTAGCTGCCCTAAAAACTACATCTGATTCATCCTTCCATGCAAAAAATATATATATGTATAAGCATTAGGATGACAATACATTATCAAGGATGGGGCCTCCTTTATATACTGTTATATGTACAGAAGTAGGACTAATAAATATAGAGATACATGCATGCATGTAATAGAGCAAATGGTGTAATGGTAACTTCAGAGGCCGAGCTCTGGGCTCAGCCTTGGCATGAAACAATTGCATTCAAGGATGAGCAATGTGATAGAACGCGGATGGTATGGCAGTCAAGGGCGGAGTGGCAGACTTGATGGGCTCGGCTTTGGTGGGAGTGGTTGCCGGTCGGTCTTGAGTTAAGCCTATCACCAGTCCAGCACTTACTAATATGTGCGTACATGAATGGTGATTTGACATTATTTATTAGGGCAAAGCATCCTGTCTTGTGTTTATTAAAACAATGGCTCATGAAGTATTAAAGAGCAATTTGGCCAATTTGATCCATAAACATTTAAGTTTACTTCAATGGCGAGAAAGTTCAGGCATAAATATTTATTAGGCTATTAGGGGTTGAAGACTTGAAGTGAGGAAACCTTGCGGTGTTCCTTTTTGGGCGAGCGGGGGGGTACAGGATTTGATTCGACCGGGGACTATTATGCTATACAAGTTTACTCAAAATCCAACTTATTATGTAGGTCTTAGTGTTAACAAAATGCTGGGGTGAACTTCTGCCCCTGCATTATTTTTTATTTACATTTTCCATTTAGTGATTCCTCCTAGATTCTCTTTCCGCTATATTTTTAAACTTCAAGTATTCATCAAGTGAATAAAAAATGATACGAAGTATAGCCAGTCAGGGAAGTTTACAGCTAACCTTCCTAATCATGGGCTTGTTAGTGGGGACAATTGTAACTTTTAGATTGTATATGCTCTCAAACTCTGCACTCTCTGTCGCAGCAGTGCCAGTCATGCCACATAGCTTTGGGAACTGTTAATCGCACCAAAACAATTTTTTGAAGGCATCAAAATGGAAAAAAAGCACTAGAAATTGAAAATCATAGAAAATATTCAAGGCAGACCCCTAACCTGGAGAAAGAAGTTCTGGTAGCTAATTGAAGCCAAGGTTACAGTCTCATTTTGGATCGGTAGACCTTCTTTTGCTTCAACTGCCTGGTGAAGTCCATCACCCCAACGTCTCCCCTATTAAATACGTATCGGCACTAACAGCCATCAGATGCAATGTTCACCTCCTTTTCAAGCAATAAAGAAATTTGGCAAACCAAATGGAAGCACATGTTATTCAACTTCTATAGTTGATCAAATTATGCAACAATTTTACTCAGAGAAAAAACTTATTCAAGGATGTTTAACTAAATAAATAAACTGTTCAATTCATAAAAGGTCTAGGCACATGTCACCAGGAGGCCCCTAGATGAATTTGAAGTATATTGCAATCTAGCACCCCACCCCCCTCTCAAACTTTCCTGGGTATAAAATTATAAATTACAAGGAAAAACGTTATTTTGATAATAGAAATTCAAGCAATGAGATGCACCTGCATGACCCGACCAGTAAACTCATCAACTATAAGGACATCTGTGCCACGAATGATATAGTTAACATCTTTAAGAAAAAGTTCTTTTGCTTTTATAGCGTTCAATAAATAAGATGCCCATTGTTCTCGGGGATCATATAAATCTTTCAAATCCAGAATTTCCTCGGCATCAGCATAACCTTGCTCTGTGAGCAAAACAGTTTTTCGTTTCTCATCAACCTGCAATAGCACAAATTTTAGGTGATAACAAATTGATGATGATGATGATATAGACAACAGTTTCTCCCTAACTATGGAAAGTGAAAAGTATATGTGCTCTCTGAGGATCATAATAGAATAATTTAAACTCAATGGACAGATATTTATGCTTGACCAATGGTATGTAATGCATTATCTTGTTGCCATTACCCTCAATCCTTACTGTGTAATGTATATCCTGCTCAAAGGCTGCAGCTATCTTAGCCGCTTTGTAATACTTGTCACTTGGCTTTTCAGCAGGTCCAGAGATGATAAGAGGAGTTCTGGCCTCATCAATTAGAATAGAATCAACCTCATCAATCACACAGTAATTAAAACGTCTCAACACTAGCTCATCCACACTCTGCAGAGGAATAAAATAAAATAAAATAAAAGCACCAAGGACAGGCGTACATTAACACCTTGTTCAGTATTACTAAATGTGTTTTTCCTATTACATAAACACCTTTTTTTATTAAAAACGCCTCAAATATAAAATATTACTTTCCGTGGCAAGATTATCTCTCAGGTAATCAAAACCCAGCTCACTGTTAGTCACGTATGTGATGTCACATAGATAATTTTCTTTACGCTGCTCACTTGTCATATTTTCTGCTTGATATAAAAGCCACAATTAGAGCAAACCTCATCAGCAAGCAAGAATGGGCAATCTTCATAATTAGGAACTTGTAAATTAATAGATGAAGTCTGACTTCCGCTTACCAAGGGCCAAACAAAGAAACCATGAGAATCATAAGATAATATAGAAAATAGCATAAATGAGTAAGTATAGTTAGCTGAGAAAAGTATAAGCAAAGTGGTGTATTTATGATTGAAGAAAATGATGCAGGTAGTCAATTGAGATAATTAAAGGTTAACAGGCATACGTTGGATCAGGCCAATTTTTAGTCCAAGAAACCGAGGAACTTGACCAACCCATTCACAATCTCTTCGAGCTAAATAATCATTTACAGTAACAACATGAACTCCCCTTCCAGTCAATGCATTTAAATAAGCTGGCAATATAGCAACAAGTGTCTTTCCTTCTCCAGTCCTCATTTCAGCTATTTCTCCCTTATGAAGAACCATGCCCCCTATTAACAAGTAACAACAAAACTAAAATGATTGAGAATCCTGAAGAAGAGCTGAAATTCTGAGGGAGAGAGCACGTCAGCTCATAAACAACAACATCCCAAGCACGTCAGCTCATATGAGATTATGAAATATCAAATATGTGACTTCTACAATCTATAGGTAGTAATTTTCCAATTGTGTACAAACCAAATTATATTTCTAGTCTCTATATTTAATATTTATCAAGTTGTTACATATGATTTACCAAGCAAGTGGAAGACAATGCTCTTGAAGAGCATTCTTCGAGTTTGGGAAATTAAGCTACATGCAGCAACAACAACAACAACCCCCAAAAGAGTTTGAGGTCGGCTAGCATGAAAAACATATGAAATCGGAGCTGCATATGTTGGAAAATTGGACCACAATCCTACCTATAAGTTGAACATCAAAAGGACGAAGCCCTAGAACCCTTTTTGAAGCCTCTCTCACAACAGCAAACGCTTCCTGCAAGCAACCCAAGCTTTACACTGTTAACATGGATAATCTGGAAATTTCTAAAGTATGGCATAATTTTTATAATCTGAATTACTTAGTTCTTTGCACATACTAACAGGCAAGAACTAAAAAACATGATAGCCAAAATATATACTCTCTAAAAGTAGGACGTTACTATAAAGACCGTATGCTCATTTATGAGTTCACTGCTCCACGTAAACCCTAAGGAAATACGTTTCCATACATTTAGGAAAGAGGTATTTATATTTAAAGATTAAAGATCCTTATTTGTTTCCCTGGAACGATCAGATTATACGGATACAGATACAAACAGTAATAGACAGATGGTTAAGGATATGAGGACAAGACTCTCACAGGTAAAAGAGACTCCAAAGTTTCACCATTACGGGCCCTTTGTTGCAAAGTGGCAGTCATATCCCTCAACTGGGAGTCCGATAAAGAAGACATTTGGGAATCGAATCCGTTGATTACTGAGAGTGTGGAGGAGTACAATTTTCGTGTGGACTCGCCGGAATCTTTGGACTTGAAGATCCCCGCGAAGAGACCTCCCAGAGAAGAAGCCATTATAGGGCGGCTCCGGCTCCTCCTCATCCACCTCGCTCTGAGTTGCGCAGTTTTAGTCCCAGCAAGATGCAGCGGTACTATTCCTCCCGCTAGCAGCCGACTGTTGAAGCCTAACTTCATTTGATGATGATGATAGCAAGGTAGAGGAGCAGCGCCGGAGATGTGAGAAGCCTCATGAAAATAACAGTTAGAAAGGGCTGCAGGAGGGTTTGCAATCGCCATTGTCATTTCCCGGCTAGAATTAATTCTGTCGTTTTAGTTAGTATATCTCCCGATTCTTTTTCTTATCTATCTCTTCTCTTCTTCGGCTAAGGTAGCTCGGAGCCTCTGAGATGGCGACACTGGGATCAGTGTGGAGGATGTTCACAACAGCTAAAAGGGATAACTAGTAACCAGTTACAACAGATAAGATATGCCGCCAAAATGTCAATTTAAGGAAAGAGCTGATATGAAAAAATGGAAGTTCCACGGGTTAAAATAGACTTTACCATTTTTTATCTTTTGAACATTTTCATTTTTTGTGTGAGGGACTTTGGCCACTGGGTTTTAAAAAAAGTATTACTCCCTCCGTTCCTATTATATCTTCCATTTCACTTTGGCACAAAATTTAAGAAAAGTGGGTATTGTGTGGTGGAGAGTTGTGTAGAGGAAAGAGAAATGTGTAAGAAATGTTGTGAACCACAAACTCTTTACCAAAAAGGGAAAATGGAAGTTTAATTGGAACGGATTAAAAAGGAAAGTTGGAAGATATAATAGGAACGGAGGGAGTACCATATTGACATTGTTACTAATCCGCCTATGATGATAAAACTATAGTAGGATTAAAAATGTCAATTTAACACTACTCGAGAGTTAAATATGGAGAGTTTTAAAATCAAAGACTAAAGATGTTTCTAATTGGAATGTAATTTTCTGACCTGATCTATGTAAGTCTAATATGGTCTGAACTCGCCTTGAAGATGAATGTGATCTATGTGTTTTTACAATCGTAAAAGTTTGGCATGATCTGATCTAAACAGGTTTAGCCTGTTTAAGTCTGACATGATCTGATCTGACCTAGTCCGATTTGATTTGAGATTGCATTAAAAGTATTCCAAGTTTCTCTCTCACAATATTTGAAGGACTAAACGTTGAAAAAATCAAAGTTGAGTTCCAATCTTTCATACTTGAATCTTTCTCTAATGACGCTCATTATTTGCATGGATTACAACTATTAGGATATTTTACTCGGATTGAAATTTTGAGGCTTGAACTAGTCTAAACTGATCTAGTTTATTGTGGTCTTATTCAATAAAATCCTGTATTAAATGTTTGACTATCACCTGTATTAGATACGACTCTTATCTAATCTAGTGCAAGACTTGTATCAATTTTAAAAACATTTTTACACTTCCACGTTTAACCAAACCCTTACCTTTTGCAACTACCTGTTTCATTTTTGTACATGTAAAAAGAAATGAACCCTTACCTAGCATGTATGACTCAAATTACCCAAATTCAACAAATAGATAAGTAGATTTGAGATTTTTGCAATTCAATACTCACAATACAGATCACAATTGAGTACTGATTTATAAGTGATCTGAAGTCGTTCTTAAGCATACTTTTATTTCTTTATATTGATTTCTCAAGTATTACAAAAAATCAAATTGTAAGTGTAGATGTGTTGGACACATTAAATGTAATGGACGAAGATACAAAGTTTAAGAAAGAAATATTCATTATTTCATTTGAGATGCATCAGAAGTGGATGTTCTTTCTATCCAATACTGGCTCACATTGACACAGGTGGTGAGCACCATTGCGTCATCAAGTATTCAAGTTTGGAAGAGCTCATTTGTTGCACCATATTAACGCTGTGGAAAGCTAGAAATGAAGCGCATTTCGACACCCAGACGGTTATCAATCTTGTTTTTAAGATAAAGACCACTGTATATATAAGCTATTGTATATAGGCTTTACCCAGATTTTCTGCTTACCCCCTACAATCAGACCCCGTTTATACGCGTGGTCAAGTGGCTACCAGATGGGGATAAGCCCCCTATCTAGTTGCGTTGGGGTATGCCCAGTTAACCTTGTACATAACATGTCACTCTTGAACACCAAACTAGTCACCGGGTAAAAGCAACATATAGTAAGGTAGGGTGAAACCTTATTCATCTGCCTTGATGTACAATGTAATTCCGTAAATACAAAATGAATGAAGAGTAGTATACCAGGTACCAATTGTCTCAAAAAAACTATGTGAATGACTATCAATGCGGGCAAAGAGGTGCACAATTTAGTCTCTTCCAGCACTGCAATGAATGCAGAATTGCAGACAAGGCCACCTCGAACTTTTGAGTTTCAGCATTGAGATTCACATGCTGTGAATAAAGTAACTCATTCATGAATTGATTACCTAGAAGGCACCAGCCTAGCTAGGTTCAGGAGGCAACACTTTGAAACTCCTCATCCATTCACAGAAGCTAGGATCGTCAAAGTGAAGGAAGCTGCTTTTTAGCTTCGTCCTCTGCTCGGTCGTCAGTGTTCTAAGCTGCGGAAATCGTGCCTCCTGCATTCACATAATTCTATAAGCTACAAGTATTCTACTTGAACACATGCACACAGAAATGATGTTTACTTTTGACTTGATAGACTTAATCAGACCAGTGACTCAATTGCTAAACCATCAAGTCATGTTTACTTCCAACCTAATTGGAAGACAACTTATACAGTCAAAAACAGACTAAATTTTAGGCCGTAAATTAACAATATTACATGAAAACAAACTTAAATTATTTATTTTTATTTTATTTATCCCTCAGACAAAATAAACAACACCTTACACAATCTTCACTTAGACAAGCATCTTAATTCAAGCGACTCAATGGCAAAGAGAGCCGCTCACAGGATTCTATTAGGCCAAAACTCATTTTGATTTCTGACCATTAGATCACCTTGACGGTTCAACTAATTAGACATTCCCAACACGACCTGTTAGAAACCTCAACCAAAACGGTAAAATTGGCGTGTATATTAGAAGATAACGAAAGGAAAGAAATACAGGCGAGACACTTCGAGCAGTCCCCCTCCCAAGTCTAATTCCAATTTCTGCCTGCCCCTTTATTCTACTCCCACTCCTATTTATAATCTTTTCCTTATGGGCCAGCCCAGGCTAACTAATACCCGGTCCAGGACCCTCTATTTATACTACTCTTCTAATATTCTTATTATTATTCTCCTTAGCCCATGATCCTAACATATCTCCCCCCTTGGACAACCACCTTGTCCTCAAGGATGGTGATATGAAACAGCCTTGATCTTCAGGTTCACTTTCATCCTTGCACCTCTTCCTTCCCCAGTACCTTGCTGTTTTCTTATCAACTTTCAGACATTTTTCGTCATCTTTTCCATTTCTTGGACCCACGCACTTTGATCTGTTTCTTTCCATATCAACCTCTTCCCGGAGCTTGGTCAGTGCCATTGAGTTCAGAGTCAGGGTTGATACTTCTTCAGTAGGAAAAACTTTTGAGATACATTGATCACAGTCCACCAGCAAATAACAGTATCCCCTGATTCCCCTCAACCTGGTATGCATTCTCATCACCCCAACTTCCTGCTAGTTTTTCAACAACTTTGATTACCTTAACTGGTGCTTGTTTCATAATGTTCTGCTTCATCATGGAAACCCCTTGATCTTCTTTGGACACAAATGTAAAGGGAATACAAAGTACAGTATTTAGGCTCTTAGGCTGATAAGCACAGATATATGTTCTTTCTCCTGTTTGCTTAATCCAAACAGTTGGGGCAGCAAACACTGAGGTGCAACCAACTTCTGCTTCCCAAAGGTGAGTTACAAGGAACCTAATCTTTCCCTTTCAACCACTTGTCACTCTGTAAGAGCCTCACAACAGCATCCAGGTAAGGAGAACTATTTTATGGTGAGGCTGTCTGCTGATCAGGTATAGAAATAGAGCTTCCCAACCAATAATCTCCCGAGTTATTAGATGTAGCATTTCTTTTAGATGAACAAAACCAAGAACTTAGGCCATAAAACAAAGTATTTGGAGTTAACCTTAAGACAGCACAGGTGACAATCTTCATTAAGTCATCATTAGGAAGTGTTGTGGACACCAGCAGGTCCTGGTACATGATTAACGAATAGCAGTTCGTGTTCTCAAAACAAGGTTCCAACACCATGTCTAGTGACTGAACTTCAAGAGCAGAACCGCCAGGCTCCTCAAGTATTTTCTATTTCTGACTCCCACCTTCCTGTTCAGTCTTACCCGAGAAGTCCCAGAATTTCTTTATGACATTAAGATGCCCCGCTAATTCCCTCTTTGGTGCAACAGAATAACTTGAGTTTAAATTAGAGCCCGGATCTAATCCAAACTCAGACTGGGGAACAAAACCTTGCACGCCATTGTAGAAACGAACAACGCAACCGTGCTTTTCAATCTTTGTTATCCATCCTGTTTGATTAGTCTCTTAGTAACATCAGTGTGTGAACTGGTGATTCCCTGAAGCACCTTTCCATAATTGGGTAGGGTTTGCATGAATGAAACAGGACCATCATGCTTGGGAACTAGGCTATGAACACCATCAGGTTCCTCCCCATTCCAAACTTGGAAACCATACCGACAGCATAAAAGCAAGACTTGGCGGTTTGTACCTCCCTCAACATTACTGCTAAGTGTCCTTCCTTTCAATCCTTCCACCCCATACTGAGGTTTGTACATACAGCGTCCTTTTTCCTTCCATCCTCTCTTGTCTTCATCTCTGAATTTCAATACTGTGCCTACCCCATACTGAATTTCAAAGCTAACATTAGTGCAAATGAATTTTGAACCCATTCTGGTTGAGTCATGTTAACTGCTTCCTTCACAAGTTCCCAGGTATAAGCAGTTGTCTGCTCCTTCCCCCACTGAAACCTATTCAGTGATTTATCTTTCATTGCGATCACAGTGGACTCCCTCCTCTCCTCATCTGTAGTAGTTGTGACTTTTATCTGATCCTCCAGTTGCCTTGACAGTTGCTCTTCCACTTTACCCGAACGAATTCCATTTTCATCCACCTCAGGCAGTTTCAAATCTTCCAGATAATTTGGAGGATATCCGGTAGGTTGAGTCGAATCATCATCCGGACCTGTTCCTGCAAATTGGGGAGATCCGTTTGCGATGAAATCTGAGAATTCGAAGTAATTGTTCGCTGTGAAGCTGGCCAACATGATGAAGCTGCTGACGATGAAGATAAGCGAGGAGAAACAGATTGCAACGAATTGGGAGACGACAAGTTTCCAGACTGCGAAGTGGTTGAAGCTAGGGATGAAGTCAGCGAACTGGGAGATGAAGTTCGCGATTGCGAACTGGAATAAGTTGGCCGACGGCATCTAGGAGGGTTCCTAGCTCGGCCTCTAGTTCTCCTGCGACGTTGTTGAGGCAACTCCGTGCGAAACTCGTCCAACCAGATCCTCCACTTTTTCTCCCAATCACTTTCTACCTTTTCCTTGCTCTCCACGCTCTTCTCCTTGTTCACGCACTTCTTCAGGTTCACGCACTTTTCCATGTTCGAGCGATTCTCCCTGTTTGAGTGTTTCTTCAATTTTCCGTGCGAAGCATCCTGATCAGATCTTCCGCGCGACTGACTATCTTTCCAGTTCAAGATTAGCTCGTGTAACTCATCGCGAGTGCACTTGGCTTCTTCGCGCATCGCTTCGCGCATCGTAGCTTTATCACGCATCTCCAGCGCGCGTTTAAAACTTTCCAGCGTCGCTTCCACAGTTCCTCTGGTGGCGACCACGAACAGGTAACCAAAAGCTTTGCTCTGATACCAATGTTAGAAACCTCAACCAAAACGGTAAAATTGGCATGTATATTAGAAGATAACGAAAGGAAAGAAATACAGGCGAGACACTTCGAGCAGTCCCCTCTCCCAAGTCTAATTCCAATTTCTGCCTACCCCTTTATTCTACTCCCACTCCTATTTATAATCTTTTCCTTATGGGCCAGCCCGGGCTAACTAATACCCGGCCCAGGACCCTCTATTTATACTACTCTTCTAATATTCTTATTATTATTCTCCTTAGCCCATGATCCTAACACGACTGATAGTAACCAATAGCAATCCACAATATACAACACAAGCTTGCAACAATCCACAAACTTCATTAATGGCGGTATACAGTACAATAGTCCCAAAGCTAGAGATAAGACTCTAACTTCCCAGTCCCAAGCCAAGCATCTAACAGACTGCCTAACTGCTGACCGGTTTATTCTATTTATAGCCCCCTCACCTTACTAAAAGTAGTTAGTAGTTCATAACAACTACCCGCCTGCCAACAACTAAACTACTTCTTCTTTCTAGAATAGACTAAACCATATCTATTCTTATTATTTGTAATAGCCGGGGTCCTATCAAATAGCAATCCACAATATACAACACAAGCTTGCAACAATCCACAAACTTCATTAATGGCGGTATACAGTACAATAGTCCCAAAGCTAGAGATAAGACTCTAACTTCCCAGTCCCAAGCCAAGCATCTAACAGACTGCCTAACTGCTGACCGGTTTATTCTATTTATAGCCCCCTCACCTTACTAAAAGTAGTTAGTAGTTCATAACAACTACCCGCCTGCCAACAACTAAACTACTTCTTCTTTCTAGAATAGACTAAACCATATCTATTCTTATTATTTGTAATAGCCGGGGTCCTATCAACGACCTAACAGGAACGGTTCAATTTACAACCATATAAACACAGAAAACTTAATTCCCTGCACCCCTTGTGGTAATCTTCTTATCGAACTACCTGTCTCGGGTAATGAGGAAATAACTTTCAGAAGTTTATATTCACAAAAAAATGCATCATTTCAGCTAGGTCAAGTTGGAAAATGAAGAGTCTAATGAGGAAAAAACTGAACTGTAGAAGTGATCCAACGGTTAGAATCTTATTTTTCATGACTGAATTCCATTTGTCTAGCCTATGATATTGTCACTCTATATACATGCACATGTGTGTGCATTACGGAGAATCTATAAATAAAACCATTATCCACCTCATACACATTCCTACATACACTGACACACAAATGTGTGTTTGGAGAAAAAAGTTATGATGTATGCAACTTGTTTAATCCACCTGTCCTATTCTCCAAATTTTCCATGTACTAAACAAAGAATTTCATACCTAGCTAGAGAATGATCGTAATATTCAGATATAAAAACAAGGTATAACTACAAAGAGTTGTTCAATATATCTACTATCTAGTGCAGAAGCAATCAACACTTAAATTGGCAAATAGGGGATTTCTATGTTCACTGCCAATGATTTGTAAGTTATAACTCATTGGGTTTTATTTGAAATCTTATAAGGTTCTGCTACAATAGCTGTTCACAACACCCTCAAATCATTTCGACCGGGGTAAGAATGTGTTTAAATATGTTCTTGGATTCATCAGAGATGTGATAAAGCTCAAAGTGGAGAATGATATGCCAATAGATACAGGAAATATAACATTTAGCAAGTCCACAACTTTTTCGGGTATCAACTATGGTGTACATTTCATTCTTCAATTATTTCAGACCAAAAGAATACTTTTAAAAAGTTAGAGAGAACTGCAGAAAAGGAGACTCTCGGATGAAGAATAAATAATGAATTCTCAGATGAAGAATAAAACCAACACTCTCAGGTATAAGTCCATAATTACCTGTTCGTATGGAGGGTCTTTGTGAGCTGGTACCAGCCGAGAAACAAAATAACGTGCCTGAGAGCTCCCCTCCTTTAATTAGTTTCAACAAAAAAAGCAAGAAAAAAAGTCAATACTTCACTTAGCCGCACAAACACATTTATAGGCAGCAATGCAGGATGGATGATATTTAATAACCTTGAATGCCAGGATGCGTGGAGCTGGGAACCTCATTTCAGTCAACTCTTCAGCTAATGTTCTACAAGCGGCCAATGCTGCTGCACCCTTTCCGTCCTGAGCATCTAGTTCAGCACCCTAAAGAAGAAGAAAGATTAAGGGAAGCAAGTTGCAATGACATAAAATTATTGTTCATAAGAAGGCAACTTAAGGAGCATACCAACCAAATGAAGACATCAGTCCCATGATCAAGGACAACAGCTGCATCGGATTGCATAGCAAGATCATAAGCAGGTAGTTCCTCAAAAGTACCACCTTCTCGATGCATCAGACAACGGGGGGCAATCATTCTGAGGGACAAATCAAATGATGCGTTCAAGAATAAGTTCCGCAACACAGACCTTTCATCTTCATGACCAAGAATGCCACCCAGAAGTGGGCCCCTTCTAAGATGGAACAAGAGTTCTGGCAATACAGATAGCTCCTTGGGGAACTGATACAGCTTAGATTTGGGCATTTGGGAGCCAAACTTGACGGCAATATCTTTAATTCTTTCGTCTATGGTTCCCTTCATGTCAAGTGCGTCATTGGCACTCTTAGCACGTAAGAGTGTCCTCTTGGCAATAAGAACACCAGCAACTTCATCTTGGACACTACCGAGATAAGCTGAAATGCTATCCACCGTAGGCAATCTTGCACTGATCACTCTGGATACATCAGATTGGTAAATATCTGAAAAGTGAAACGCAAACTGAAAATACACAAAGTCACTCTTGATGTCTCTCTTGGTTTCCATGGATAGTGCCAGACTTTGAGTCTCCTCAACACTGAGCATCTGAATGGAAAGCGCATTGTCATTCTTGAAACTCTCATGGTTGTCTATATGTGACTCCTCACCGGGACCTATCACTTGACTTATAAAAATATCATCTGAACAGCGGATCTCCAACCAACCATGGGAACCTGCAGCTCTTCCAGATGCTCTCTGTAAGTTCACACCAAATGCCTCTCCGAAGTCATCATGGAGAACTAGAACACCACCAGAAGCTTTTGCAAGAGGTTGCAGAACAGGCACTCGAACCGGACACGTGCCAGCACATAATATGTCAATGACTGTGTTATGCCTATGGGCTTCACGGCCAAGATTTTCCATCCACTTCAATGCTGTTTTCTCCATATGAGGATAGTTTGGGTGAGAAAAAGAGTGAGGAACTGAACCAGGACCACATGTGTTTGGTCCACCTGCACAGACAATTATCCGGCTATTTCCTCCTGGCCTCTTAACAACTCCCCTTGACATTTCAGCCGAAGGCCCTTGAAGTATTGCCAGTGCAACCTCCACTGCAGTGCCCAAGCATCGGTCTCTAGAAGCCTCTGGTGTACTATTAAGGTTATAGGGTCTCAGGGATGAAAATATTGAGTGTGCAACAGGGAGTGAAGCGTGCATGGGTGAGAGATATATCCCTGTCCCGTAGATCAATGCTTTTAGAGATTCCTGTGTTGGTGATCTATTACCAGGAAAGACATCGGCAGATGCTATAGATTCTTCTGAAAAGTCATAGACTGACACTGTGCGGCCATACAAAATGATTCCAAGTCTTGTTGTTGGCGGTAGAGAATCTACAAATGCATGCAAGGAGCTCTGCAGATGCTGTAGGTGCGATTCATCTAAACAGTCGTCTATGACAAGAACAATTGGTGCTGAGACTCTAGTATCTGACACTGGGAAGAAACCGGGTCTTTTATTCCCTGTCTGAACATAATCAACTAAAGGTGATGATAGCTCTGGCAGATTATGAAGCTCGTCCTTGCTAGAAGCCACATACCTGCCTTCGCTTGCATTCAGATTACGGCAAATCACACACTGCCACTGTCCAGACCCAAGCAAAATGTTGCAGTAAAGGTTGGCATAAGACCCACAATTATGACAGCGAATGGTATCACGTTGAACAACATTAGGACCTAGTGCTACCTCCCTGCCAGGGGAAACTAATGCACCAAATCCCAAACTTGGAACATTTGCTAGTTTCTTTTGTTTCAGCACCTAAATAAGAAACAGTAATCACATAAGGCAGAAATGCTGAAGTAACAAGGATTCATGTGCAGTGTATTTATTATAAAAAGATTTATTTATTTTTCCTCGCAAAACCAAGGGTAGAAGCCTGGTTCTATTACGGGAAGGTTATTGGATATGAAGTAGGTAAGCTTTCACTCAACAGCAGTTTATCACAAAGACCAATTGCTTTAAGAAATGGACTATTTGCATTATTTAAAAGAACGGTTCATGAAATATAGTACCTTATAAGCTGAAAATAGAACATTTGGAGATTCAGTCGAATTTGTCCATTCTTCTCTATCAGCAGAAGTCTGTTGCAGTTCCTCAAGAGACCCATTAGATAAATGTGGAGGGGATGATGTAGGTAGAGACGAGCCTGAAGAGAATGCAACAGGCTGAGGTGTGGCTGGAGAAGTTCGAAAAGGTACAGATGCAGGTTGAAGTGGTGAGGAGAAGACGGGAGGTCCAGGTGGAGTGCTCAGTAGAGGACGGGGGCTACCAGTTCTAATTCCATTGGATGGTGAATGAATATTAGGAGTCTTAATAGATGGAGAGTGAACTTGATTTGGTTGTACTAATAGCGGAGGAGGAAATCTGGGGGCTGATGTTGAAGGCAAAGTAGGAGAGGTGAGTATTGGATCTGGGATAGGAGAGTGGCTACCTTGATGAGGGGGCTGAGCAGTATCTGGTGAGTATCCTAAGGATGACTGAGGCTGATTAGCCATTGGCAATGGTTGATCAGGAAAAAACAGACAGGTGAATGTAACCAAGAATTTGACTTTAGATGTCAAACTCCAATCCTGTACAGTTAACTGAAAAGGTGCAGACTTTGGCCGAATAATTGTGCGAGCATTAAAAGCCTGTAGAAAGGAGATGGAATTAAGGGTTCAAGAAATTAGACAATTGAAGTATATAGAAACATAAGACCAAAGAAACCCTTCAAGAACATAAACTCCTGGAAAAGAAAAGGGTTCCCCCTGTGAGATGTCACCTTTAACAGATAAAAAAATAATCATCAATTAATTTATAAACGCAAAAGAAACTTCCTACAATGTCCCCCCTAAAGAAATCGACAGAAACGAATACACCTTAACATAAAGAAAAAATCCACAAAAAATATGAATACAACAACAACATCCAAGCCTTACTCCCAAAAGATTTTGGGGCCGGCTAACAAAAATATGAATAATAATGTAAAAACAAGCAAGCTTCATTCTATGTGATATCACGCAGCTACTTCTTCAGCCATGTGCTAAGCTATGATATCACATCACCATAAATGCAAAGGCACAAAAACACCATAAATACCCTATAAATAGAAGCACGGTTTTGCCAGATGAGCAACACTGAAGAACCCTTGGAATTAAAAAACTATGAAATTTACAAATTGTGTGTGTTACATCCTTCGTCAAGAAGATAATGCCTCTGAGTTTGTTCTTAAAAGCTTCAAGATTGTTAGAAGCAGAATTGTAAAAAACAAATATTGTACATAGGTCGAAGTATTAGATTACCCATTTCACTCATTCAACAGGCTTTAGTTTATAATATAGTATGTGTGTGTATATATATATATATATAAACACACACAGATATAATCATATAAACCAATAAGAACTCACAAACAAAGTATGTACCAATGGCACATGTAAATGCATCTATGTACAGAGGAATGATCGCTGGCCTGACAGGATCCGCCTTCTGGCTAAGTCCATTTGGGGCACTTCCACGTGGAATTTTTTGATGAAATTGTTTGAGCATGTTCTTCATCAAGCGTACATTATCCCCACGAAATTTCAACTTAAAATTCAATCGGGAAGTCAGTTAAATAAATTATTGATGAAGGATGTGCTCAAAAAAATCATCAAACAAATCGACCCGGAAGCCCTCAAACGGGCTTGGCCGGATGGCTGGTCGTGTCAGGCCAGCCTGACAGGATCTTTACTCTACATATATATACACCTATGTAATGTATAAGGCATATATTTATGTATGTGTGAAATAAGTTAAGGAACAAATATATCATGATAAAAAGAAGGCTCAACGAGGAAGATAACACAAATTCTGAGTTGCCAAAAATTATGACAGCAATGCAAAGTGGGTAGTCTTACTAAGAAATAATAAAGCACAAAAACTTCAAAAAAAATACTCAAGAAATTCAGAAGATTTTTAAAAGTTTTGAGTTTTGACAAATAAATATAAAGGTTAAAGAATTAAATATAAAAATGTGTTATTTTTTCACAGAAAACACATCGGGAGTGAAATCCTTCAATAAGTCAAAAATCCACTTCGATTGTGACAATAAAACCTAAAATTAGACGCAGAGAAAAGGGTGTACAAGACTACAAGAGATTATTGATGAAAAATAAGTAAATGTCAAGACTTTTACCTCTCTGAGTTAGACCTGTACTCAACACAATCAAGGGTTTGAGTTGTTGTGCGGACGAATCTGGCATCGAACGGACAGCTCTGGGGGTGATGAATGCAGATTGAAGCCGGCAGTTATCAATGGAGCTTTCGGTTAGCCTCAGTGTCGGGGGGGGGGGGGGGGGGGGGGGGGGGGGTCAACTTACAGGAGCCGTCGTTTTATCTGAGAGAAGGGGATGAGGGCCGGGGAGAAAACTAAAAAGATGAATTTGACTTTTATTCCCCACATCGAACATAATTGCGCTTTGCACCTTATTTCTTAAAATATTAATGTGTGTTGGTTTAAAAGAAATTTTATCAATTCAATATAAAGATACGTATACTATCTATAAAGAATTTGAAACTTAAATTGTATATTGATATAGTATTTGAATGATTGAAAACTATCACCCAAAATCTAAAATATCATAAATTATGATTTATTTAATTTTTCAGTAGTTCCCTTGTTAATTTTTAATGATTTTTTTTTCACAAAGGTTTATTAATTAGTTTAATAGGATTAAGTAATATTTCAATTCTTAAAATACGAAAATTTTAAAATTCATGGAATTTTATAGCTTAGATTAATAGTTTTAGGCCCCTTATCGATAAACATATCTTTCATGTCTCAAATTGAAAAAAATTCTTTAAAACAATTAAATTGATTTTAGTACCTCATATTTTTTAAATGAGATATTTTAAAGATGTTATTGACAAAAAAATACACAATGTTGAGGTTATTACCTTCGCACTCCGAGAGTCCAACACAATCTCTCGGATTTCATCACTTAATGTATATATTAAAGTGATCATTGAGTAATGATGATAATAATATGCAGCAACCAAAAAAAGGTAAAGTGTATATGGTTCTTATTCAATGAATATATAATGCTTACAACACATGTTTATCAAAATCTAAGTCTCTAACTTCCAAAGTATGTTGAGTGTTATGGAAAGGGTAGAGAGACACTGACTTATTGAATGCACGCTTGTCGATCTTTTACAAAAAAAATAAATGTGGTATTTATGCTACAAGATGGTAGGTGGTTGGGACAATGTGGCGTGCTCTGATTGGATGGACGCAACCACAAAATCCGTCGTATCTAATGTATTAAATGCTCTTCCCGTCAATTCTTTTAGGTTTTTCATTAATGCTTTGGTGATGTAGATACCATAGCGAGTAGATTGCAAGTGTTGATCCCATTCGAGAGGCTTCATCTCGGATGAGGCAGCGGTCCACGTCTCGAACGTAGTTAGTCATTTCCTTATGCTAATTGGGTTTGTAGTGGTATTTGGGCTAGGCTCCTGTCGTGCTTAATACTCCAACACACAAGTTACTGTGATTGAAATTATTACTATAGTCATTAGAGTTAAAACCTTATTTTTACAAACAATACTACCTCTCTCCCAAAAAAAACTTTATCATTTTCAAAACTTTGGCCAACTATATTTTTATTAGAAATTATGTGCTTGGGCCCAGGAAGCTCAAGCAGGCCCAAATCACGGCACCCAGAGTACCAAGCAGCCCGCAATACGCACCAGGGGTGCCTTCGGCCCCCTGGCCGAAGGCTCCAAACTATCACAGCGTGGATATTTCGAACAAACAGAGGAACTGGGAGAAAACGGCGAAAATAGTAGCCCTCAGCACTCAGAGGTCCTCGGCACTAGGAGCCCTCGGCTAGTCCTCTGCAGCCGAGGGCACCTCTCCCGACATGATATTCGCGTCACATGCGTACAGATCACCGTACCCTGCACAGACGTCCCGTCCAACAGCCGCATTAAATGCGGCCACATGCGGCTGCCAACGCCAACCAGTTGAGGTGACCTCTCGGCCAATGGGCGCTTGACACGTGTCCCTGTCCGGCATTTATTGATACTATAAATAGCACCCCATTTCCCCGTTTGTAACCACGCTTTAACGCCTCAACTCAATATACTCTCTCTCTTACTTGCTCTGACTTCTCTCTTGTTATTCCCTGCGATAACCCTCGGATAAGCTACCCCCCGGGTACATTATCCATCATTTGGTGCTCTCGTTGAGAGGTCGAACAATCAAGTAAGAAACCCTCCCCCTCGACCAAACACAAAACACCTAGCTAAAATGGTGAGAACAAGTCGTGCCAACTCCAAAAACGTGGAAGACAAGAACCTGGCCCTCGGCGACGTCAACGCCCCCGAAGCCTCTCACAGGGCTCCTGAGGGTGGTGTCATCACTGGGTTGGAACAGGCGGCTGTCGACCTGCGCCTTCAGATCCAACAGAATGCCCCCGATGCCCGCCTCGGCATCGAGGCCAAGAAGAAAAACCGGAGCGACGACCAAGTCAGCCCTCCGGTTCTCACCATCGACGTTCAATCGGCGCTCTCCGCCTTCATCCAGACGCTCACTCAGAACCCAGGTGCCTTCGGCACCCTGGCTACGGCTCAACCCCAGGTTGGGGAGAACATCGTACTTCCCCCTCAGCCACACCCCTTCGGAAACCCCATCCCTCGGGTAAGGAATGACGAAGGGGTAGTGGCCCAAGATACGGCCTCCCAGGAAGTTCAGTCCCGGGACCGCCACAATGACAACAGAGAAAGGCCCCACACATCCGCCCTCAACCGGCTCGGAGGAGGACAGGACCGCCGAGGGGTCCAAGACCTCCTCGGAGGGAAAGCACTCCAAAGGCCCCAGGAGAGCGAAGGGTCTGTCTCGAGGTCAGACGAGGAGCGTCCCCCTCGGGACAAAGGCAAGGCACCCCTTCATGCCGACGATGCTCGCCACCAAATCAATCAGGCCCACTCGGCCCGGGTTCGTTCGCAGGGGGCGGAGACCCTCCCGAAGGATCCCCGGGACGAAATTATTGCGGCCCTCCAACGCCGGCTTGATGAAATGGAGGCCAACAAAGCTCACACCACCACCTCCACCCCTCATTCAGATCTCAAATACGAGGCCATGATGGCCAAAATGGAGGAATTACAGAAGAAGGTGGCCGAGGGCTCCGGGGAACCCGTCATCCAGCTCCGGACCCGGACGCCATTTACCCCAAGGGTACTGGCGGCCCGGATCCCGGAAAAATACCGAGGGCAACACATACAGCCCTATAACATGAAGACGGACCCCCAGGAACACTACAGCAAATATCAAAACAGCATGATGATGGTAGGGGCGTCGGACGAATATTCGTGTCGTTGGTTCCTCTCCACCTTAGAGGGCCGGCATACGAATGGTTCAACCGGTTGCCCGAGGGCTGCATTGATTCGTGGCAAGAACTCGCCCAGCGATTCTTGACACAATTTGCCGGGAGGCGTCGCACAAGGAAGCACTTCTCCCACCTCCTAACCATACGCCAGAAGAGGGATGAGACCCTTCGGGACTTCCTGGAGCGCTGGAGGACGGAAGCCGACAAAGTCGAAGGTGCTGATGACGGGACCCTCCTAGCCCTCCTACAAACCATCCTCCGCACCGAAAACTTTTCAAGGAGCCTCATCATTGACCCCCCCCCCCCCCCCCCCGTGACTACATAAGGGCTTTGCAGCGGGGGGACCGATATGCTGAGGACGAGGAGGTGGAGAAATATCACCAGCATCCGGATCAGCAGCCCCCGAGGGCTGACAACAAAAACAACCGAGGGCCGGGGGCTCCTCCAAATCACCCCAAGGCTTCGGGACCCTCTGATGACCGCCCTCGGCAAGGCCAAGCCAAGCCCGGGGGAGGTTATAAGAGCAGCCCTAAGACTTGGGCACAACCCATTCTCCTGGACCGCCCCCGGACACCATTGACGCACCCCGTCAGCATCATCCTTGATTTTGTCGAGGAGAGGGGCCTCGTTGAGCGCGACTCTCGCGCACCCCCGGAGGTACATGCTATCAACCCTCAGTTTCCCTACTGTCGTTTCCATCGGCATCAGGGGAACAGAATCGACGATTGCCACCAGTTAAAAACGGCCATCGAGAGATTGATACAAGCGGGGCACCTGTCCCAATTTGTTCAGAGCCCTCGGCAGGAGGGACCTTCTCATCAGGGCCTCCCCGAGGGCACCACACGAAGGTGAACGCTTGGGTGAACCCGAATACCATCCCCCTCGGCAAGAAGAGGGAGATCGGAAACTTGGAGGAGGAAGAGGAGGAGTACCCCCACTACCAGGAGAAAAAACGCCACATCCTCATGATCACCGGTGGCAACACAGGGGGCAATTCCACCAGCCAGCGGAAGAAGTGGGCTCAATCGCTTTACGTGGGGGAGGTCACTCATATGCCCCCGGTAAAGCGACTGAGGGAGGAACCCATCACCTTCACCAATGCAGATCTCCCTCCTACTTCTTCTCCTCACAGGGATGCCTTGGTGATTCGGACTGAAATAAACGACACCATCATTCACCGAACTTACATTGACACGGGCAGCTCCGTCAATGTAATGTACCTCAGCACCTTCAGAGAGCTGCATCTGGAGAGGGGGTCCCTTCGGCCCATTAAGACCCCTCTTGCCGGCTTCACCGGCGATACTATTGATTCCGAGGGGGTAATAACCCTCCCGGTGATCTTCGGCGACGGGCTCCATAGAGCCCAGTTCAAAGTGGAGTTCGTCGTCGTCAACATCGACTGCGCCCACAACATCATCCTCGGCCGGCCAGCCCTCGAGGACCTCGAGGCCATCATCTCCATGAGGCATATCTGCCTCAAGTTTCCCGCCGAGGGGGCATTGGCTACTCTCGGGGGAATCAGAAAATCGTCCGCGCCTGCTATCTTCAAGTCACTAAGAAGGTAAGTAAGACGGAATTCCGTGTTGACACCATCACCGGAACCATCGACCAAGAAGAAAAGAGACCGAGGGCTGAACCAGCCGAGGACGTAGAAGACTTTACACTCGATCCGGCCAAGCCGGAGAGAGTCGTAAAGATTGGAGCCCAGCTCCCTGAAGATCTGAAGACCGGTATCACCGACGCCCTCCGCGCCTACTCCACTGTCTTTGCATGGGGGCCGGAGGACATGCCGGGAATCAGCCGAAGGGTCATCACCCACCACCTCTAGGTGGACCCCTCGGCAAAGGCGGTACAACAACGAAGAAGACCCCTCTCCGCCGAAAGGAGGGAATTTGTGAAGAAGGAGGTCGCCATGCTCCTCTCTATTAAGCACATTAAGGAGGTGAAATATCCCTCATGGTTGGCGAACGTAGTCCTCGCACAGAAGCCTCCTACCTTCCGCATGTGCGTGGACTACACGGATCTCAACAAGGCGTGCCCTATGGACCCT